AGGCCAGCCCACGCGTCCCTCTTTCCCTTCTAGGGCTTTTTAAACGACAGCGAGAAGATGCTCCGGCTATAACTCATCCGAGGTGGTTTGTATCTTCCCCTTCTCTGCTCGTTGTTGCTGCTCCTGCAACCCTCCTGTACATGTTCCCACTCTTCTCCACTCCCAGTAAACATTTTATGACCTGCCTACTCCCTGTGTTCTATAGCTGCCACTAACAGCACCAGCCCATCCTTCCCGCAACACTCTCACCAGCAGGTCCCTTCCTTCCACCTACTACCAAAACCCCTCTCCATGTTTTCTTGTTGTTTACCTCCTCCCAGCTTTCTACAGCCCCCATAATCCCTCAACCTCTCCAGATATCATGCCCAACCCCACTTAGCACCCTTAGATCTCATGCCCTGCCTTCCATCTGCTGCCAAAACTATCTCCCAACCCATTGGCTACCACCACCACCTCCCAGAAGTAAATCCACCAACTACCACCACTACCTCCTCCTAACTAGGGATTCCTGTTGCTAGGGATTCCCACAAGTACATCCACCTGCGATGAAAGCTACAGTTTGAAGGAAAATGTTGTCATAGGAAAACATTAGATTAGAATAGTGTTATCTTAAAATACATGATTTATTGCATGATTTACATGTATAATATAACCTCGTAATTAAGAATATTCTCTTTATTATCTTCCTTTTTCGTTCTTTTTATTAGCAAATAGAGGTACTTAAATTCAACCAATGAAAAACAAAATACAAAAACCTTATTCTTTCCAAAAATAGCATCCACCAAATTTGAAGCCAGCTTTGTAGCTTGTAAATATTTCAAGAGAAAAAGAAAGAGAGAGAAAAACTGCAATTTTATTTTGATGGAGCGATTATTCATTTCTTCATGCTCTAAATTTTAATCAGAAATACTCGTTATACCAACTTCAACATATATTCAAAATCATCCTGTTACATATACAAAAAAAAATTATGTTATCCAATCAACTACTTGTGAATCATGCTCCTTTTATTTATTGCATGATATATATGCACAAGTATTGAAAATGTATTGACTTTGTGCGTGTTTGAAGCATTACCAAATATAATATTCCTTCGTATTGTGGCCAGTTAAGTTTCAAGATGTTCGTTCTTAAATGCAGATGGGAGGCATGCATATTTTTTCTCCTTTGTTTAATATGGTATTATTTATAGAAAGCACACTTTCTCTAACTTCTCCCATTTATACTACCGTCAACGATGATGAGGGCACATGTTGTTAAATGAGCTGATGAAGGATATAAGAATGAGATGCAGCCCCTGTGGTAACGAGCAAATGTGCTACTAAAGAAAATATTGCTACATTCTGAAAACTGTTTAAAATGAATTAAAAAGGGACCAGCTAATACAATAACTATCAATGAGCCCTTCAAGAAACAAATTACTAGAAGGATACATACAACATATTGTAGTAGAAGAGTGGAGCCATATCTGGTTCTGAATATTCTCTCTAAGCATGCAACTAGAGTATCCTCCAGCTTAGGTACATCCACCTCCATCTGTAACGCACTGCAAGAGCTCAAAAAAATTAAGGTGACTAAATAAGATTATTACAAAACAGTTTCTCTGCTATAAGCTTATCGGACTACAGGAAATTTACGTAATATTACTTCATTTCATATCAAAAATTTTAAATTTTTCTCATCCAATAAAGCATAATTCCTGAAGTACTAATTTTATTCATCTTTACAAATATAAAATAAACAAGTCGAAGAAAAATGTCATGAGGCCAGCAATGTCTCAGCTTTCTGCTCAATAAACAAAGAAAATAAGACAAATTACATAAAGAATTCGGGAAAAAAAGAATTTAACAGTGTCTCTTTTAAGACTAATATATGAGCAATAAAAAACTCAAAGCCAATCTGTGCAGAAGAGCCAAGAACAGATTTAGGTTAAGACCTCTGAGGTTCACATATTCAGCGGATGAAGGAACATCCTGAAGCACAAATACTTCCCTAAACTCACCCCTTAGCATCCATACAAAAGCAGTTGACAACTTAAAAATGGAAAAATTAATTAAAAAGTTTCAAAAAAGACAAGGCTATAAATTGATGACATATAAATATTAAACATGCACCGTAACGTAGACTATTCAACAATCAATAAGTAGGAGGTCTAATAGAAAAGGAACTCTAGTAATAAAAAAAAGGTCCAGCTCTCCAAGTGTGGATGCAGAGGGCCTTTTATATTTCTTCCCTACAACTCACAAGAGGTTTGATATACAGTTTAAAAAACCTAAAACCTACATAAAAGTGAAAGATGCTGCACTCATCTATGAAATTAAAGCAAAAATCATTACTACCAAACAAGGTAAAATTCCTGTCATTAAATAATAACACTATGAAAATTTAACGGTTAGAGTTGAACTACTACAAAATCTCAATATGTCATACTGTGAGGATATTGTGATCCTTACAAAATTCATATGCAAGAGAGAATTATTGAGTTTTCGGCGGGACACAATAATGAATTTGACTAAATTCAAATTCAAATCTTAAATGAAGATCTCCTTTTTCTGCATGAAGTATTCTCTCTCATACAAGCAAAAGAAAGAAAAATACAATGACAACTTCTGAATCTCAAGGTAAGGGACTTTCTGTCACAAAACCTTCTCCAAAAGGACAAAACCTTTCCTTCAAAGATAATCTCTTGTGCAACTACTACAAAAAGAAATGGCCCATCAAAGATAAAAATTGAAAATTTTCATGGAAAGCCTCAAGACTGTGGAGATAATAAAGGCTGAAATAAAAAAGGACAGGTCTGTCTAATGGAGTAAGAAAGTCCCAATTAAGAAAAATAAAAAAATTAAAGAATTTTCTCGATTCCCTAGGAAAATCATAAGATTCTTACTCTAGGAAAATCATAAGATTCTTACTCTCTTTCTCATCATTACATGATTTCTAATCTTTATGCTCTTAATGCCTCTAGTAATTCTTCCCCTTTATAGATCCGATTTAAGAGCCACCAACCACATGAGAAATTTTGTCAATATATTTCAAACTTATAAACAGTAACCAAGCAATAGAAAAATAAAAATTGAAAATGGATCTTTCTTAACTATTGCAATACAGTGAGACATCTTAATTTCTCCCAACTTAACCTTCAATAATATATTAAATATCGCACACCTTGTAAACACGCACACACGAGCAAGCAGGCATGCAGGAACGCACGCACATGGATTACAACAGATAAAAAAAACAAAACGGATGTCCCTTTAATTTATTATTTGAAAAAAAAAATTTACAAAAAATGCCTTTAAAAATATTTTTAAACACTTATAAAATTTCATTCTACGTAATGAACATTTGTTCGTTGTATTGTGTATGGATGGTGAAGTGTGATAGTTCAAAGTAGTTTATCCTTGCCTAAAGATTAAAATTTGTTGCAAGGGGTAGAACATAAAGAAAGAAGAAAAAGTGTGTAATTGACCTAATTCTTGTTAAATTGGAAGACATCGCACTAGCAAATTGAGGATGATCGAAGAGCTGGGATGATGTTAGGGTTGCGGGGCTTCGATATTGTAGCTCGAATCTGCGACTAACGATATCTCCATCGCTCCCGCTAGCTATATTCCTAATCACGCTTTAAATCACATTAAATCAAACGAATCTGCATATTTCATGAATCCGAGATTTACGTTTTCAAAGGGTGAAATCCAAATTTCCTAAATTACGGGATTGAAAACGCCAAATAAAATCAACTAGAAAGATTTAAGTGGAATCACGCCTAAATCCTCCTACAAAACCGATACCACACATCCCTTGTGTATTCAAGATTCCAATTTAAGCAATTTTACTGTTCAAATCATTTAAACATTTTTTTAAAACTCATTGAACATAATCTACTTAACAATACTTTTTTATTACAAATAACATAGTAGTTAGAATTTAATTATTTTACTTTAAAAATTTTAACGTGAGATTATCATTTACAGCAGCAACAACAATAAGCCTTTTATCCACTAAGTGGGGTTAGCTACATGAATCATTTTTCTCCATTGTGTCTTATTGAGTGTCATATTTTCATTTAACTCTAAAAGATTATTTGAGTGTCATATTTTCATTTAACTCTAAATACAATATGCCCAAGTCTTTTTAGGTTTGCCTCAGCCTTTCTTAGCATAGTTGAATCTAAACCATACACTGTCATTACTAAATCATCAGATGGTTGACATTTAATGTGACCAAACCATCTAAGATCATTCTCTCTAATCTTGCATGGAACTAGAGCTACACCAACCCTTTCATAGATAGATTCATTTCGCATTTTATCTCTAAGTGCCAAGCCACTCATCCACCTAAGCATTCTCTCAGCAACACTTAACTTTGTTTTATCTTTTTCTTTTAAAGGCAAACATTTTGTATCATAAAACATTGCAGGTCTCACCACCATCTTATAAAGTTTTCCTTTAAGTCTAAGTGGTGCTTTTCTATCACACAATAGGCCTAATGCATTCCTCCACTTCAACCAACCATCCTGAATTCTACTAAAGACAACCCCATTTATATCACCATCACTTTGAACAATAGACCTGTGATATCAAAGATACTCATGCATTTTAATAATTTGATCACCCATAGTTACAACTTTATCACTAGAGCTACAACTACTAGAATTACATTCCAAGTATTCAGTTTTAGATCTACACAGAGGAGGGCCTTTAAACTCTAGTGCAGACCACCACAAATCATTTTTTTTCCTGAACTCCTCTAGCCTTATCCACAAAAAGATATCATTAGCAAAAAGCAAGCACCAAGGTACATACTAATGCTTATGTGCAGTAAGAGCAACAATAACTGAAGCAAAAAAATATGGACTCAAAGTTGATCCCTCATGTAATCCAGCTGAAATAGAAAAATACTGGTCAATTTTCCTTCTGCTTGAACACAAGTAACAACTTTATTAAGCATATCTTTGATGACTCGAATATAATTCATATCAACACCTTTCTTTTCCATAACTCTTCAAAAAACTTCTCTTGGAACCTTATCGTAAGTTATTATAAATCAATAAAAATCATATACAAATCCTCCTTACTCTCTCTGTACTTCTCCATCAAAACTCTCAATAAATGTATAGCTTCTACAATAGACTTGCTCGGCATAAATCCAAACTGATTATGAGAAATCTTTGTATCACGTCTTAACATATATTCAATTACCCTCTCACATAATTTGAAAACACAACTCATTAACTTAATTCCTTTATAGTTGCATAATCTTGTGTATCCATTTTATTCTTAAATATTATGACCAAAATACCCTTCTTCCGCTTCTCAGGTATCTTTTTAGTTTTTAAAATAATATTAAAGAGTTTAGTAAGCCAAAAAACTCTCAAATCTCCAAGATATTTTCACACTTCAATAGAGATATCAAGTCCTACTAATTTTCCACCCTTGATTTTCATTAAAGCCTCCTCAACTTCCATTTCACTAATGTGATGGTAAAAATAAAAATTTTTATTATTAATAAAGATATTAATATCACTAAGGTCTATAGCATTTTCATAAACTTCTTTAAAAAATTTATCAAAATAGCTCACACCCCTATGTTAAATATATTTCTCAAAAAAAATATTTTTTTATCTTCATCTTTAATACACTTTATTTGAATTGAATCTTTATTTTTTCACTTTATTTAGCTAGTTTATGTATATAATATCACTATCTTCAGTATCTAATCCTTTATAAAGATCAATAAAGCAGAATTCTTAGTGTCACAAATTGTTTTATTAGACTTCTTACGTGTCACTAAATATTTTTATCAATTATTTGAGTTTTTACATTTAAACCAATTTTTATAACATAACTTCTAATATTTTATCTTTTCTTGCACATTATTATTCCACCATCAGGCATTAACTATTTTCATTTATAAAAAAATTTTCTTTTTTATTCTCTATGTATAGCTTCTGTCACTTGCTTAATAGTATTTGCTACTTTATCCAATATAGAATTAGCTTCTTCAGAACAATCCAAATATTGAAATCTTGAAATATACTCATAAAAATAATTTTATTTGTCTTATAAGTGATCAATCTAACTTTATAACAATAATATATTGTATTATTTATCTTACAATTCTTCATCTTAAAATTTAGAACTAATAATAGATGCTGAGTACTTAAATTATTACTTTAAATAACCTTATAATCTTTACATTTTTAACGATCTTTTTTTCTCATAAGAAAATAATAAATTTGTATTTTATTATATCTATTCTTATAAGTAAAAATATTCTCATCTCTTTTCTTAAATAAAGTATTAGCAAAATAAAATCATAAGCTAAAGCAAAATTTAATATGATTCTGTCTTCTTCATTAATCACTCTAAAACCGTAGTCAATATTTCTAAAATCTTCTACCACTTTGCCAACAAGTTCATTTAAATTTCTACCAATAAAAATTATTTCTTCAAGAACTATCATTGATACTAATTCTTCTAGGGCAATCAAAAATTTTTTTTTCAAATCTATATCTAAACCTACTTGAGAAGCATAAACACTTATACCATTAAAAATTTTAGTATCAATAATAATTTTTAGGGCTACAACTTTATCTCCAATTCTATTAATTTTTATAATATTATCTTTCAAATTCTTATCTAAATTTCTAGTGTGACTCCGACCATTTTTATAATATTATCTTTCAAATTCTTATCTAAAATTACACCTACATCATTTCTAGTGTGACTCCGACTTGGATACCAAAGTTTAAAACCTACGCTATCAATTTACTTAGTTTTTCTCCAATCCATTAAGATTCTTGAATGCGTAAGATATTTATCTTCATATGAACCATAATATCTACTAATTTCATTAATTTATCTGATATAGTACCAAAATTTCAAGATCTTGTCCTAATATTAGTTTCATGGACTAACATTTTTTCCCACATCCTTCCATAATGTGGGAACTCTTGTTTATTTGGCACTATACTCGGGTGCAAGTGTTGCGACCCTTGAACACTTTTCACGGTATTCAAGTCACATAGTGTGACACTTCTGGGGGACGCACAAGCATTTACACTTCCAAGGGACGCACAAGCATTTACAATTAAAAAAAAAATTTTAATGTGTTTAGAAATGAAACACCCTTTCTTATATTTTCTTGTTTTACTGTGACAATCAGTAAGATGGCTCTTAGCACCGCTGGGATGGTGTCTAGCACCTTGGGCATTTAAAAATCCCAAAGTGATTTTGCAACATTCTACAACAATTCTACCCATAAGCTTGGTATCAAACTTATAATCTTCATATTATCTTCACATGCAACAAACTATACTGATAAATGACATCTAGTTTGCCGACAATTGAGAAGGGCATTGAACCTAAAGAGACGGGATTCCGTGAAAATCCTCCAAGTTGTCTGGTATTAACTTTGCGGGAGAATTAAGGCGGGATTCCGTGAAAATCCTCCAAGATGGTCTTTTTCAACGCATCCAATTTCAAGGTGCAGTAAATCTGGATTTCACCATCAGTTTCTTAGGATTTAACTGTATTTATTAAAGCTCATGCCAAATAGTTTCCGAAATTTAAGCTCTCCAGGATTTACTAAATCCACATTTACATATTTACTAAATCCACTTGAAGCAAAGAGGTTTCGATACAGACCCCTAAGTTAACCCTAACATCACATTCGGAATATCGGAGACGTGCCTTTCAGAGATTTCGAAAGTGCAAACTTCAAGCAACACATCGTTTGCCACGTTTTCTCGAACCAAAACGCAAGCATCGAATAGCAAATTGAGGGTACATACCCAAAAAGAGTAGTAAGTGGGCACCGATCAACAAATTCCTTCGCCGCAGCGTCATTCACTGCTCCTGCAAAGTCAAACAATATCTAGATGCACTGCAGGCTATCTAGGGATGAATAAGATCGACCGGAAGAAAAGAAGAGATTCGCACCAGGATAGGAGGCGAACTCGGAAGCCGCTTGGAGGATCGAATCGACGTCATGAGTTAACGTTGTTGAGTCCATTGATACCGTACAGCTACCTGCCACAGGTAGGACGATCTATGCTCTCGAGGAGGAGGGAGTGGGGCTTCTGTATTGCCCGAGTGGGACAGGTAAGTTACGCGGCGGCTGGTAGGGGAAGATGGGTGCTTGTTTGTGGTAGGGTGGCAACAAGCGTGCGGTGAGTTCCATACGAAATGGGACATTTTTTAAATAACGATAATTATTATGCGGATAAACTTGGGGCTTATTAAAAAGAATAATCTAGAAGAGGAACTAAGGCCTGTTTGGGGTAGTTTTTTTTTTAGTGTGGCGCAGTCTCAAATTGCGACGCCATTTAAATTTTTGGCGTTTTAAACAGACATTTGCGGCCGCCCGCCACGAATTTTACCCCGCGACTTGAAGTCGTCCCTGTCTGATCTCTCAAAGCTGAAGGATATTTCTGCCCTCGCATCTCGACTAGCGAAGCCCCCACTCCCAAACGTCTCACGAATCGACGATCCCCTTCGAAGCATCAAGATCCCTCGTGAAGTCCCCTGCTCACTGCGCTTGTTCTTCCACCGTCGCTTGATGCACCGAGCCTTCCCTTTTGTAATAAGCCAAAAAGACCTTAAGAGCCACCAAGCCTTCCCTTTTGTAATAAGCCAAAAAGACCTTAAGGGCCACCAAAATGGATAAAGGAGTAAAAATATATGTAATAAGGATTACCTAGAAGAGGAACCAAGAGCCAGTAATGGATGAAGGAGCAAAAATATATGTGTAGGTCAAGTTTAATGTGAAATGTATGGGTAAGCCAAGTTTTTTGTGAAACGCTCGTGTAGGCCATGTTTTATTTAAAACTTATGTGTAGGTACCTCCATGTTACGTTTTTCCCATTCTTTCCACTATTAAACCCCATCCACATTAACCCCCCCCCCCCCCCCCACTCCTAGGTATTATTCATTAAAGTTTAGAGAAATAAGATTTATTCTATGGTTTAATATTAACAATTTTTTTTATGAAAAAGTTTTTTTTGGTGAGAAACGTTGTATGGAGCAAACTTTTTTTGTTGAAGATGTCTTTTTTATGTCATTTTATTGATTTAAGAAAAATAATATGATTTTTGTATTGTAATCAATTAAGTTATTAAAAATTGATTTCGTCAAAAAGACACATAATAGACTGTTTGAAACCTATTTCATACAAAAACATAATTGTTATATGAGAACTATGAACTACAGAACTTATATCTGAGAATCATAACTAGTTGTATCTGAAAACCAGAAACACTTTGGACATAAATATTAAGAAACTCCTTTTAAAATTTGTACTTCCAAAAATATAATTATTTTTTTGAAAAATAAAATGATATGTTTTTTTTTTCACCAGACTCTTTAGTAGTAATTATTATTATTATTATCTTGACTATATACAAATTTATATGTTGTTGTTATTATTATTATTATTATTATTATTATTATTATTATTATTATTGTTGTTGTTGTTGTTGTTGTTGTTGTTGTTATTGTTATTGCTGTTGATATTATTATTTATTAATCTCTCTCTCTCTCTCCATATATATATATATATGTGTGTGTGTGTGTGTGTGTGTGTGTGTGTGTGTTTTATAATTTGGGAATCTCTTAAATTTGAGTATAATGATAATTCTTCTAGTCTCTTTTAATCGTTTAAATTATGTAAAGTCCTCTTTTTTTAGATATTTACATTAAAGATCTATCAATTCTTACGTGTTATTTTCGACTTTTATATGATATTACAATAATAAATTTTTATACTATAAAGGATCCGACCTTGCAATGGCTATATGGTGTGAAGGCTCGACGACACTTGTGCTCTTCAGTACCTCACATAATTATTACTTATTCTTAAGACATTTTGTTGCTTTTCAATTATGCCCTTATAGTGGTCACTAGGTTCTCTCACCTCACTTACTTGCAAAATATAAAATTTAAAAATAAAAAAAACATAAAGTCGCCTAATAAAAAAAGGCAGGCAAATAATATAATTGTACATTAGACACATATCTCCACGAATCTCAAGGAAATCTAACAAATAAAAAGTACAAAAGTGTACTGCTAAGAATGGCCCACTGATAGAAAAGCAATGGCCCACAAAAAGAAGACCAAAGACCTTTGAGCGGAAGACTTAAGGTCCACCAGGAAAGATTGAGGGTCTATTAGTGAAATACTAGGGTCCGTTTGGGGCAGTTTATTTAGTGCGGTGGCATTTTGAAGACGCACCTGGACTGTTTGGATAAACAACTTTTTGGCAACTTATGCGTTTTCAAAACACTGAAAACAACGTTTTCACACCGCACCAAGATAGGTGCGGTGGTAGCTTTCTGGCAGCGGTTTGGCTTTTCCAAAAAAAAAATAAAATGTGTAATAGTCATCGCACCTAGTTTATCAATATATTATTTTTAATCAGTTCATCAGCAGATTATTCAATAAGTTGTATCTGCCCCAAACAAACCCTAAGTGTTTACTAGCAAAATACCAAAGGAGTTATCTGACCATTTGTGACCCCTTCAAGCCAAGGTTGGAGTCCAACCGAGAGAAGGTCGTACGAGCCAAAGACTAAAGTCAATCGAGCTGAGCAAAGGCATCGACCTGCCTCTTATCATAACTTGATTCAAGGTAAGAATGCAACATCGACAACTAGCTCACATATGCCCTCTAGATTTCTAATTATGGACTGGGAACAAACCATTACATAACCACACTGAGCATCCTCAAATGATCACCTTGTTGACCCAACAACTTATGGTGATTCACCATCTGCTTAATAACTCGCCTTACTCTGCCAACAGGAGTTCTTTATATGGGCATCAATACTCGGCAACCACACTAGCATTGACCGGTAGAGCAAAGTCAATTACCGTTCTGAAGACCATCAAACACTGACTTACAGCCATGATTTAGCACAGTCAAACGAACAGGTCTCTTCGATACTTCATATAATTATTACTTATCCTTAAGACATTTTGTTACTTTTCAATTTTGTCCTTATAGTGGTCACTAGGTTATCTTACCTCACTTACAGGCAAAAAATAAAATTTAGAAATAAAAAATATGATGTCTCTTAGTAAAAAATGAGAGGCAAATAATATGATTGTACATTAGGTTCATGTCTGTGTGAATCTCAATGAAATCTAATGGATAAAAAGTACAAAAGTGTACAGCTAAGGATGGCTCACTGATAGAAAGCCAACGGCCACAAATAGAAGACCAGAGACATCTAATAAGTGAGAATGTTGATGTAGGATCAAAAGATGTGTTGATCCAAACCCTCCAGGAGTATAGAGACATTTTTGCCTAGTCGGCTATAAAATGCAAGGGATGTCAGTTGACGTTGCTTGCCACTGACTGAACATCAGCTTTGTTGTTAGGCTGATAACGCAGAAGATGGATTCTTTGGCAATAACTTTGGCAAAATCGATTAGAGAGCAGGTGCAGAAACTGTTAAAGGCCAAATACACTTGAGAAGTGTGATATTTGACTTTGGTATCAAATTTAGTGATGGTGCAAAAAGCGAACAACAAGGAGAATTTGTGTCGATTTACCCAAGCTTAACTCTGCCTGCCTAAAGGATAACTACCTATTGCTAAGGATTGATGTACTAGAGGATCAGTAGTCGTTCATTCAGTAGTGAGTTTTCTAGATGCCTGTTCTAAATACCTCCCGATAAAGATGCATCTAGCCAATGCGGAGAAGGCAACATTCATAATAAGCTATGGAGTTTTTTATTATAAGGCAATACCCTTTGGGCTTAAAAATATTGGAGCTACTTATCAATGACTCAAGTGTGTAGTCTTTTTTAACCAAAAGGAAAAATATTGAAGTGTATGTGGATGATATGTTGTTTAAGAGTAAATCAGTTGAACAACATATTGAAGATCTAAAAGAAAATTTTAAACTACTTAGAAAATTTAATATGAGGTTAAATCCACTCAAATGCACCTTCGGGAGAGCAACAAAGAAATACCTTAGCTACCTCTTAACCATAGAGGGAATCAAAGCCAACCCGAAAAAAGTGCAAGCATTTTTGGACATGTTCTCCCTTCGAAATGCTAAGGAAATGCACAACTTAACTGATCGGATCACAAGTCTAAGCCAATTCATCTTTAAGTTAGGTGACAAATGTGCAATATTCTTTAAAATACAAAGGAAAGCAAAGGATTTCACCTGGTCAGAAGAATGGGAGCAAACATTTAGAAGATAAAAAAATTCATTAGTATTTCCACCACTTCTTCAGATCCCTAAGCCAAAAGAAGAGCTTTCTCTATACTTAAGAGTAGGGTCTTGTTCTTAAATTGCAACATATCGTACTCTCTTCCTGTCATTTCCTTGAACTTCTTCATAATAGTTTGCTAACCTTCTTTTTTGAAAGAGGTGGTGGATCTATTTCCTTATTTAACCTCCTTAAGACACAGGTCACAAATATAACTGTGACTTCCCTATCCCACAGGACTGATGAATTGAGTTCTTTAGTCTTAATCATTGCATTAGTAACAAAGAAAAGATAAAACATTAATATTTCAAATAAACTAGAGAGCATACAACAACCACCACCCAACCCTAAGCACAACCACCACCCAACCCTAAGCATAGCCACTACCCAACCGCCAGCACAGTCACTACCTAACCCCAAGCACAACGACCATCCAACACCAACCACAGTAACCACCCAACAGTCACCCACCATAGCCAGCCATACCGAAACCACCCAGTCAACCCATCACACACATCCCATAGCCACCAAAACACATGAAATAACCCGACAATCCACTCCCCTCCCCCACCGGAAACCACACAACCACCCAACGATCCAACCACACCACATAACACCCCAAGAACACATCCACAAACTTCCCAAAATAATAGATCAAACTAATAAAAAATAATAATAATTGTATGTAAATTTGAGTTGAGGCAATTACAAACAGGGTAATCGAAATAATTCTAGCTTACCCTTTCTAATCCATTTCTCAAGTTATCATTCAAACATCATAAGAAGCAAAGAAACTCCATCCCATATTTTTCTTTTGGCACAATGAAAATCCTTGACGAGCAAGCAAGGGTGTGATAAGTCTCATTTAGCTCGAAAGCCTATGGATAATGAGACTTCACATGTACTTCCTCATAGTATATTTTAGCAATATTTTCATATTCCTTAGGATG